AACGGGAGTCTCCCGGCAAATCCGGATCGTTTGCAGTCTCATCCTAATAATATACATTGGAGAAAAGTCATTTGAGTGTTTTCACTGCAAATAGAAGTTTATGAAAAGAAGGAAATTTGGGACAGGACATTTTTTATTTATTTATTTTTACTTTTTTCTTAAGACACTGGGTTTCACTGCATCATTCAGCACAAAACCTGTAGAGCAAGAGTGGATTATTGAATAAACTTTAAAACAAAATTAAAAAAAGTCTAAAGTTTTTGATTGGGCTTCCTGTGTTATCAATGAATCAAGGCTCGTCCCAGATTTAACCAGGAACGCCTGTTCGAGTTTCACTTCCTGAAAAGCTTTTGTTCGTATCGTTGAAAGTCAAGACATTATTGGCAATTTTACGCTTTCCCTCGCGATTTGAACTGCAGAAGGTTAGTTTTGTGCAAGGCAAATAATAAAGTAGCTTAATGTTGTCTTTCTTATGACCTTTAACACGAGTCCGGATCGAAGAAGTCCAAAATGTGTCCGGATTTTCGTCTACTACGTGTGGTTTGAATGATGTTGTCCGGAAAGACAAGTTTGCGGTTTAAATTCTAATGTCCGGATACGTGTTTACGGCGTGTTTGACATAGGAAAACTTCTCTTTAAGAATTACTAATAACTTGTTTCAAATCAGGTTCAGTTATTAGTCCAGTACAAGAAAGCCGTCGAGTAATCAACGAACCAAGGAGACTCGCGTCGTTGGATTTCAGAAAACCTGATCAATTCAAGCGTTACGCTTTAAGACTTTTTTTTACAATTACTTGTAAGTGTGAAGCTTTATAACTATAACTTTATATATTTCTTCGCATAGTATTTTTCTTTTAGCCTTGTAAACTTAGCGAAGTGTACATTGATCCAGATTTATATACCCTTATTCTTAGCAAATTGAACCTTGGTTATGCATGGGGAGGGGGGTGGGTGAAGGGGGAGAAACACGAAATACCCAAACTTTGATTAAAATCAGTTCAATGCTATTCAAACTTTCAAATACGCTAAAATTTCAAAACAAAATATGGGATTTGGACAATGTCTTGAAATGGTCAAAATCCAGACAAATTTGTTGCGTCTGATCTTATGTATTTCTTTTCTAAATTCAAAATTTGAAGGACAAATTTGTTCACCGAAAGTATTGAAATAGAACCTATTTACACAGACCATGGTKTGAGGAGGAGAAGTTCATTTTATTTTATTATTGCTAACATTTTGACAAGCTACAAATTTTATTTTCATGAATAACTTTAAAAAACAGGTTTAATCCTGTAAGCTTGATCTTATGAATTTTTAATTTAATGAATGCTTGTGTCATCCTAGTGCCCAATAGAAAATAGACATACCATGACTGTTGATCCAGTTGTCTACAAAGAAGTCTGCACCATTGGTACACAGACAGATGACAATGGCTGTAATAATGGTTGTACTTCCATGTACATCAATGTAGTTCATGTTATCCACAGCACTGGAGAATCAATACAAGTTGTTTTGGATGATTCTAGAGTCATTGAAGCAGACCTAGATAATGGACGTTATGATGGAGGTAAAGAAGAGACAGACAAAGACATGGAGGGCATAAAAATTCTTGAAGAAACAGATGCCGATCACTTTGATGGAGGCAGAATTAAAGAAGGCAATTGCCACCGCAAAAAAA